TTTGTTGTTTGTTGTTTGTTGTTTGTTGTTTGTTGTTTGTTGTTTGTTGTTTGTTGTTTGTTGTTTGTTGTTTGTTGTTTGTTGTTTGTTGTTGTTGTTGTTGTTGTTGTTGTTGTTGTTGTTGGCTGTTGCTGTTGTTGTTGTTGTTGTTGTTGTTGTTGTTGTTGTTGTTGTTGGTTGTTGTTGGTTGTTGTTGTTGTTGTTGTTGTTGTTGTTGTTGTTGTTGTTGGTGGTGTTGTTGTTGTTGTTGTTGTTGTTGTTGTTGTTGTTGTTGTTGTTGTTGTTGTTGGTTTGGTTGTTGTTGTTGTTGTTGTTTGGTTTGGATGTTGTTGTTTGGTTTGGTTGTTTGGTTGTTGTTGTTTGGTTTGGTTGTTTGGTTGTTGTTGTTGTTGTTGTTGTTGTTGTTGTTGTTGTTGTTGTTTGGTTTGGTTGTTTGGTTGTTGTTGTTTGGTTTGGTTGTTTGGTTGTTGTTGTTTGGTTTGGTTGTTTGGTTGTTGTTGTTTGGTTTGGTTGTTTGGTTGTTGTTTGGTTGTTGTTTGGTTTGGTTGTTTTCTTGTTGTTTGGTTTGGTTGTTTGGTTGTTGTTTGGTTTGGTTGTTTGGTTGTTGTTTGGTTGTTGTTTGGTTGTTGTTGTTGTTGTTGTTGTTGTTGTTGTTGTTGTTGTTGTTGTTGTTGTTGTTGTTGTTGTTGTTGTTGTTGTTGTTGTTGTTGTTGTTGTTTGGTTGTTGTTGTTGTTGTTTGGTTGTTGTTGTTGTTTGGTTGTTGTTGTTGTTGTTGCTTGGTTGTTGTTGTTGTTGTTGTTGTTGTTGTTGTTGTTGTTGTTGTTGTTGTTGTTGTTGTTGGTTGTTGTTGTTGTTGTTGTTGTTGTTGTTGTTGTTGTTGTTGTTGTTGTTGTTGTTGTTGTTGTTGTTGTTGTTGTTGTTGTTGTTGTTGTTGTTGTTGTTGTTGTTGTTGTTGTTTCTGTTGTTGTTGTTGTTGTTGTTGTTGTTGTTGTTGTTGTTGTTGTTGTTGTTGTTGTTGTTGTTGTTGTTGTTGTTGTTGTTGTTGTTGTTGTTGTTAATGCTTTTGTAAGAGCCATGCTTCGTAAGCTTTGCATCCCCCATCAGCATCACTGAACGAGACTGCATGAGTCGCGGGTTTGTCTTTTTGAGGGCACCCGCCTGGGTTTTGAAACGACAAGAAGGGCCTGGAATTGTCCCCCTCAGACCAGCCCTCGGACCGTTCATGAAGCAACATGCAATGCATCACGAGAACCCAGGCCCATATTGGGGTCTTTTCTTTTTCGAGTGTGCCCTTTTCAAGTTGTTTGTTTTTGAAGGAAAGCCCAAAGGAAGCCAACCAAAGAGCCGTTTCGGGCAGCCCACGATGTCTTGAGACCAGCCCCGGGCATGTTTCTCTGAGTAGCTGCGCGGCATCTTGGCTCTAAAGTTGCTTGTGCAATTGCGATCTTCCAGTGGGGCGTGATCGGCTGCGTAACGTGAAAGGCTCTCTAGCTTACCAAGCTTCCCTTAACGCAGCACGCGTTCCTGCCAAGTTGATTCTCCTGGCCTGGCGGCTGTGTCTTATGGATTTGGTTCCCCTCTTAGGAGCTGCGTTTCGGAATCCAAAGACAAACAACCCATCTCCCCTATTGGGCACACCCACGTGTTTCTCCATGAGCTTCAAGCCCTGCAGCAAATAAATAGAGGATCAGGTGCAGCTGCTGAATCGTATGCCTGGCTTTCAATGAAGTTGATTGACTTCGAAACACATTATTTGTGGCCACGAAGTCGATCACTGTGTGCGGATGTATTCGCGCCTTGCCGCTTTTTTCTCCTTAACGCACGATCAGCTTGTCATGGACGGGACCCGTGTTGCTTAGCCGGTCCGTGCCTCTCCGATGTGGCGGAGGATGGCTTGCCCGTGCGGTGCCCCGGGAAATGGATGGGCACAGCTTGGTTTGCTCATGGACCCATGGGGGGGTATCCCAAGAGGACGGGAAAGAGTTCGTCTTGTCCATTTCATTTACCTGAACGTCTCAAAGGAAGCGCTCAAAGTGTCGCACATGTCGCAGTTCCGGAGAAGCGCAGTCAGGGTATGTGGGTATTTTTGCTGCTTACTCTTGTATGACTGTGAATTTCTATTAGCCTCAAACATGGTTGGCAACAGACACAGATCTTCATGTTTTCTGATCTCCACCGAATTTAGCGAGTGTTCGGATTTGGGAGGTATGGAGCCAGTATACCACTTGTATCGGCAGTTTGTACTGCCTTACTCACTTGTATTATTGGTGGTACATAAGCCACAACCAATACCTCCGAAACCCATACCCCAAAAATGGTTGTGTCTTTTTAAGAGGGCACCATTTTTCTCAGGTTGGTTTAAGGGAAACCAAAAGGACAACCGAAGCCGTTTCGGGGGTCCGAATCCTAAGAACGCAACACAAACGATCGCAAAACAGTGTGTTTTGTTTTAGGGTTCCCCCCTGCCACCCTTCCCCCCCTCCAAAAGAAAAGAAGGATTGTTCTCGTTTTGGTTTCCTTTTAAGATAAGACCAACATCAAGGCCATCCCCCCAAAGAACATGGCGTCTGGCCGCCTTCGACATGAGGACATGGAGGGCAGCATCTTCCCCGCAGCGCTCGCACGGGGCCTTGGGGAATGTCGCAGTCCAACTGAGAACTAAGCCCTGGTTGAAGATCCCCCAAAAAACCAGCGGACCCGAATAGGATTCAGATTAAACGAAGAATGGGGGTTTAATTAAAACTAACCCCTGGCTTAAAACTAAGCCCTGGTTGTGTCTTAGCTACAAGGGAAACCCCAGATCTTCGTCGGAACGAGAGGTTGACTTTGATTGGGGTGTCCCCTTGATTCGTGACCCCTTCGGTTTTGACTAAATTGTCGATGGTGGTGTAAAGACTTGGGAGGGCCATTGATTGAGTTCCCCTTATGTTGTTCAAAGAACATATATGAGAGTGTCTTAGTTTTGGGGACCTCAAAATGGCTGGTTTTCCTCCCCCGTTTTTTGGGTACCCTTGCAAAGACGCACCCATACAAGGAACCCTGAATGAGGTTGATTCTAAGAGGAAGCCAACACGCTGACGACTTGAGCCCACGCCCGGCTAGCCAGGGCTAGGTACCAGTTCTTCAAAACGGGGGTTTCCCGGGAGAGTATCAAAGTAGCAGCGCTTGCAAGAAGTTCAATGCGAACTTCGAATGAATTCACGGGACCATACAATTTCCCAGGAATTCACCCAAGATCCCCAGAGGCAAGAACCAACTGTCATGCATATGGTCCCCCCTAGATAAAGCCCGAGGTTGACATCACAAGCATTGCTCTTTGTACCCAACGGAAGTTGCAATCACCGGCTCTGTGGCCAGCAGGTTTTTTTTGGGAAGCCGTTCTTGGAGGTTCACCTAGTTTGGCGTGCCTTCTCTGAGGGGACCCTTTTGGGGATCTTGTTTAAAGGGGCAAAGGGAAAATACATATTTTTGTGAGATGCGGCCATCCGTGCAAATGTCTCTGGCGATACTTGGACATGTGGCAGGACCCATTCTGCGATCCTATGGGGTTCATCCTTTTTTCTTCTTCCCTTTTTCGTACAATAATCTAGTCAGAAGCTTGGGTCATCGCCTGAATATGTCTCTCAGCAACATGCAGATGTCATGACACATTCGAGTGGAATCAGCCAGCCTTTTGAGGATGGGACATCTTGTGGTACATCTAATAGACATATACATACACACAAACACAAACAACCATTTTGACCCTCAAATGTTTGAATCATCCTGGCATAGGATGGCTTGCTTGCTCTCTGCCTCTCTGCCTCTCTGCCTCTCTGCCTCTCTGCCTCTCTGCCTCTCTGCCTCTCTGCCTCTCTGCCTCTCTGCCTCTCTGCCTCTCTGCCTCTCTGCCTCCCTGCCTCTCTGCCTCTTTGATTCTCTGCCTCTCTGCCTCTCTGCCTCTCTGCCTCTCTGCCTCTCTGCCTCTCTGCCTCTCTACCTCTCTGCCTCTCTGCCTCGCTGCCTCGCTGCCTCTCTGCCTCTCTGCCTCCCTTTTGCTCTTTTGCTCTTTTGCTCTCTGTCTCTTTGTCTCTTTCTCTTTTTCTCTTTTTCTCTCTTTCCGTCGATTTATTTTTCTCTCTTTCTCTCGATTTCTCTTTCTCTCTTTCTCTCTTTCTCTCTTTCGAGCTTTTTGTCTCTTTGTTTTCTCTCTCTCTCTCTCTCTCTCTCTCTCTGAAAGACTCTGAGTTGTGGGACGAATTCTCTGCGAAGACGTTCGCCACGGCCAGATGCAGTTCCTTTACCAGCAGCAAGGGCTCTTTGCTGAGGAGCCTGCCGAGGACAGGGCAAGTGCCGGTCGCCAGTGCAATCAACCCAAACTGGAGAACGTTCTCGACAGAAAGGGGGCGTCCATGCAAGGTCGGTCTGAGGTCCTGCATCCCCGAACGGACACCCCCCACCAATCCATGCATCGATTTTGGGGTATGTACCTTGGATGCCACCTGACTATAAAGCCCATGTTCTTGGGGGGTATGTCCATTCAGGTTCTTTGGACCTCAGAAAAGACCCACCTTGCATTCATGCTTTTGATCTCCGTTTGGGGGACAGTTGGGTTTCACAGCGGGGGGACAACCGGAACCCAAAAAGGCGGCTCCTTCCGAGTCCATACATTTTCAACCACAATGTCCCAATGTGGATAAGCACATTTCATGCATGGAGTAGCGGGATAATCCGGCATGACTGGCCATGGTCTGGTCTACTTTGGTATGTGCAGGCTTTTATTCCAAAAGGTGGCACGCAGCTCAAAGCGCAGATTTCCTTTTCAGAGATTCCCATTGCATTCCCCATCCCGACAGATTCTTTATGCCTGCAAACCGTCCCAAGCGTTCAGATACCTGAGGTCCAAAAACGACCCAAGAAAAACCACAAGGCGAGTTGCAGAAGCAGACGTGACGCAAAAGGTCCGGGCCACCTCCAGGGTTCGGAGCTTGGCACCGGGCAATTTCTTAGCACCGGAGTCTTGGGATTCCTTTGGGTGTTGCTTGATTTGAAAGGAGGGTTTACGAAACGCTCCGTCAACAAGTTCCCAAGATGCGGAAAGGCAGCTCCGGTTGTATCCCCGTAGATGGGTCCACCAAAATCAGCCAAACCATCAGTTCCTGATGGTTCCCCAATTTTGAAAGGAGGATCGTTTTATAAACATCCGAATGGTCATGCAGGGATCAACTGTTA